GACAGGTTGAGGAGGAAAGGGGGAGTCTGGGGAATAATAGACTAACCAGTCTGACTCCAATAGCTAAGGAGCTATTAGAGCAAGTAATGTGACAATCAGCTTGTCAGAAGCTGGGGAAGGAATGCAGTGGGCATACCATAATCTGGATTTCAGTGGGCCTTTCATGCCATTTTCATAACTAAGCAAGAGAAATGTGGGCTAGATAGAATTGCCGTTAGGGGACTATATAACAGGATGAACAGAACCGCATAAAGCAAAGGGTAACTATTTTTGAATGAGATCAGTAAGAGGCCCCGAGTAGGACCCACAGGAGGTCCTGAGTAGGATCTTTGTTCTAAATCCAGGCCTGTTTAAGGACTAGGATGCAAAGAATAAGAGTATATTGGTAAAACATGTAGCTACACAGAACTGGGAAGGGTTGCAGGCTCTTTCGATCATAAAATTGGAATTCAAAGGGATCTTGAACAAGTGGATTACTGAGCTAAAGAAAACCTAATGTAATTCAACAAAGAGAAATGAAAAGCACTGAACTCAATAGGAAGACAATCCAAATGTGGATATACAAATGAAGGATGAGAGATAACTGCCTTGGCATCACACTGCAGAGATGGATCAGGGGGAGGGCCTGGCCTGCATTCAGAGAAGATGGTGTAAAGGTCCCTCTTTGCCTTGGATCAACAAAAGGCATTTCTTCAGCACTAGCATAGGGCAGAATGGCCCCCTGCAACTGAAAGATGCACAGCTGGACCTGGGCTTGCTGTCCTCCCACTGCTGCTAAACTGATAGGTCAAACCTTAGCCAGGAGCTCTTCTGTCTTCCTAGGATGAGGCATGGGGGAAGAGCAAAGCAGATATTTGGGGAACAATCCTTCCCCTTCCCCTCCCTGGAGAGGACCGTGTGCAAGGACAATGATAAACCCCCTTCTGTTTATATCTCCCACTCCCCTTCCCTGGCCCCCCCTTGCCACCCCAGTGCAGGTGAAGAAACAGCATCCAGCACCCACCCAGGCAGCCACATGTGATACAGGCCTTGAAGATCAAGACAGGAATCAGAAGAGCCCAGCGGCTCAGCCGGGGACAGCCTCCCCTCTCCTCAGCAGGGACTGAAAAACACAAGGCAAGAGCAGGAATCACTGCCAGGGCCAGGAGAGCAGGAGGTAACTGCCACCAGCCTGTTCCCAGCACCATGTCTGGGGACAGGGGTTGGGGGGAAGATTTCTTGGGGACCAGAGCTGGATTCTGCTACTTGTAATTAAAAGGTAGGTCAGATGCAAGGGCCAAAGCCATTATTGTGCTTCTTGCAGCTCCTGTTGTACCTTCCTCTGCTCCCTCTGCCACCAGTCCTCAGTCCTCTTCTTCCACAGCTTCACTGTGTTTCTCTCCCAGTTCCTTTCCCTGCACACCTCGTCTTATTGCCCCTCATATCTCCACGGCTGGTACCTCCCATTTCTCTCCCTATCCTGCCCCGCCACATCTTTCTCTCTCCCAGTTCTCTCCTGTCATCATTTCTTTCTACATCTCCCCTTCCCTGCCCTTCAATCCTCCTCTGCTTTCTTGCTTCCCCTCCACTAATTCCTTGTTTTCTACCCTTCCAGCTCACCCTCTCTCCCATCCCTTGTCTTGCAGCTTTCCTTGCCCTGTGTCTCCATCTTCTCCTGTCCCTCAGTGAAACAAAATTCCAGGATGATCTGTCAAGTAAGGAGCATCTCAAGGGCAGCAGGATGAAGAGACCAAAGGGCTGGTATCAAGAGGACTGTTTCTCTGGCGAGAATGTGACGGGGACTTCACAACACCAGGAAATGCGCTAATTGGTGTATCAATGAGCCAGCCATCTGTGGTGTGGAGGGGATCTTTGTGGTTGGAGTCACCCAAAGAAGTTTGCTTGCATAATGTTACTGAGAAGAGACAGCTACTCCTCTGTGGGAACTGTTTGTGTGTGTGTCATTCAAGGTAACTGAAGGTCCCTGCATCGCCCTCTAGCATTTCATTCCCTCTTCCCCTTTTCTCATGACCCACTCTGCCCAGCCCCATCTCTCCCTGCTTCCCTGCTCACTGGCACTTTTCCATCTTCTCCAACTACTGTTTCCTGGTATCTCAGATCTTTCTCCTAATCTGACCTTATTCCTCAGCCCTTGCCCTTTGCCTTCTCCACCACCTCACCCACCCGCTGCCCTCAGAACAGTGGAAAGGATTCCCCAGTGATCAACTCACCTCTAGGGCTCGGGCTCCCCTTCATGCTTATCACCTAGTCCAGGGGCTCACTGTCCTCTCCAGTGACCCCAGATTGCACATATGCAAATGCACACACCCATGCAAACTCCCAGAAACTCCCCCGCACACGCCTGGCTACCAGCACACCGTTGTCCTTTGGCAGAGCATTCTACCAGCTGCACTGGTCCAACACAAAGAGGGCTGGTGCCTGGTGGGATTGAGCGCTCAGGCTGAGCTGGAGCCTGAAGTTACCCTGCAGGGAGTGGCATGGAGGGGAGGGGATATTTCAACAACTCTTGTGTCAGCTTGATTCTTACTGGACACTCCTTGCCTACAAGTGGAACTAGACAGATCACAACACCCTCCCCGCTCCTTCACAATAAGCATGAAGGCAAGGAAATAGCAATGGCGAAAGAAATGAGGAAGAGGAGCATCCCACAATCAATCTCATGCTATGAATCATGCAGCTTCACAACAGGCAAGGCAATGCCTGTCTCTGCTGAGTTGGGCTTTGATATGAGACAGCAAGAGAGGCAAGTACAATCGGGATCCAATATAATTCACTTTGCCTGACTGAGCCCAGTTTATCCTAAATCATGTTCTGTGTGATCCTGTCCCTACTCGTTCCATCTGACACTCACTGCTGCCCTGTCACCACCACTCACCCACTGCTTCCCCATCCTTGCTGTCATTCATTTGCACACAATCTCCATGTCATTCCTGAGGTTCTCAGCAATGACTGTATGTTGGTGTCCATGTCACCAATATAAAGATTGAACCATGTGAGGGTAGAACTATTGCCTGAGGAGCCTCAGAAGGACCAGTGGCAATGGTCAGAGAGATAGCAGCAGAGACACCCATCTACTGACCTGACACGTCATCCTAGGATGGGGGCTGCTGCCTAGGGCCATAGGTTCCCCTGTCTCATAAGGTCCAAGGACTGATATCCTTCCATTTCCACTGACAAAATCCAGTCCCTCTCATTGATTTGGCTTGATTCAAATATATCTAATTACAATTCTTTTGATGCATTCTCAACCACAGCTGGCCTTAGGGGTGAGTAAAATGAGTAACTGCCCAGGGTGCTGTGGTCATGGTGATGCCACATGCACACAGGTGCACGCGTGTGAGTGGCCTTCATTCACCGCTCTCTCTCTACCCAACCCAACCCAGCCCCACTCCACCCCGCACTGGCCCTCATCCCAGGCAGGAGGACTGTTGCTCAGCCAGGCTCCCTTCACCTCTAGGCAGTGCTCAGGAAAAGCCAAGCCAGGCACATGCAGAGGAGTAGTGCCTGCTCCAGTCTGCCTGCCATGCTCCCACACAGCAGTAGCGGTGCTTCTGTTACACAAATTGACAATTACTCAAATCACAAGCGAGACCGTCAGGGCAGCAAGGAATGACAGTTTGTTCCCATGATGCATTGCAGACTGATTTCTCGAAGGGCTTTGCTCTGGATGATACGAACAAGACTGGGACATAACTTTATAGACGTGCACATGTAAACAGGTGGTTAAATTATAACTGGAAATGTGGATGGATGGACATAACAGGGACACGGTTGGGGCCTTGACTCCTGCATCCTCCTCCTGGAAGCTGAACCTCACCTTTCAACTTGCAGTTGCAAGGCCACTTGGACAGGAATATGATATGAGCACGATACCCCATCTGGGACAAGGACAGTCATTATACTTAGCACAGCAGCTGTGAATACATAGCAGGTGGCATTTCCCCTTCACCCTGTTCAGGTCAATGTCCCAGCTCTCTCCTTGCCATTCTCCCCCAAGCCCCTTGGCTGACGGCATAGGCAGATTTAGTGACATCACAGGTTAGACTTGGCCAAAATGGACTTTCTTCCACTTTCAGCATGTTCAACAGCTTTTTTCCCACAAAATAACAGTATTGATGTGTTCAAGCCCCTGAACATGGTATCCTCCTCTCTGATTCTTCCTGCATTGCCACAGCCCAGCTGCCAGGGTCCCTAAAGCCCTCCTCCTTATACCTCCCTGGGAGCTGCCCCAGGCAAGGGGTGGACTCTCCTTGTTCTCACATCCAGGATGAAGCATCTCCCATCAGGTGTGTAAAGAATGGTACTTGTGCCCGAAAGCTTCCAAAGAACATTTTTCCAAATACTCAGTTGGTCTAATAAAAGATATCACATCTACCCAAAAAACCTTGTCTGCATATCTCCCATCAGTTATTTGTTGGTGAAACTAAACAGATTTAATGAAAAGACAGATGACAGTACACATTGTTCCCGGTCTTCCTCCTGGGGGAGGTTGTTCTTTCCTGCACTTAGACAACAGTGCACTTCTCAGAGCTGAGGAAACTGTGTCTCCTGGGTATCTGGAACTGGCAGAAGATGCTCCAATGTCAGAAGTGTGCTGTTAGGAAGGTCCCAGGGAAAGGAGCAAGGAGGAGTGGGAGAATTGCAGCCAGTGAGTCAGCTGGAGAGATTCCCCTACTTCCCTCTGTGCTACCCCAGGGCACGGATTGGCACATTCTGATCATGTTTCCCCAGTAGATCTGCTCTTGGCTAGACCAAAACACTCTAGTAAAATTGAGGACAGGGCCCTCATTCCCTGTGTCCTTTCATTACCCTCTTCCAACGGCACCCCCCCTCCCCTCTCCACGTGCACACGTGCATTACCCCATATATTGCACTGTGGGACTAAGGGAGATGTGGTAACCAAAACCAGTGTCCCTCTCAGTGATTATTCATGCTATACTCTTGGATCTGTGGTGTCTGATCTACCTACTGTCACTCAGTTTCCACTTCCAGGAAACTCAGAAGAGGTAGTAAAACTTTCCTGTCCCTGTTCCTTTTCCCCAGACAGGCATGAAGTCCTGGATAAAAACAATATCTAATCTCAGCAGCTGCAGGAGCTGAACAGACAGCACGAGGCATCATGGGAACGCTGTAGTGAGGTAGCCCTGTTTCAAAGCAGGTGGGCAAAGGGTTCGTTGAGGGAGGCCAACAGGGACAGGGGGGCAGACGTTAGGAGGAACAGTAAATTCAAAAGCATAAGAAATCACTGAAACCTAATGGAAGGAATTGCAAGATTGGATTGTAAACCCTGGGTCACGGACCTACTTAGCAAAGAGAGGAGAATTGAGGAGTGACAGGAACTCTCTGTGCTGAGGACACCAACTTCTGTTCTAGAGCTATGGATGACTCTGAGCCCCAGGATGCTGACTGCCTGGGGATCACTGTTCTCCTTCTATGTCCTTTTACAGCCTTGGATGAAGTGATCATCAGCCCAAGAAAGCTTCTGCTACATACACACACGCACACTAGGGCTGTGCGAAATCTCACAGGGCATTCCATTTTGAGACTGTTTTGACTCATTTCAAGGTCAAAACAGCAAAATCGAAGTGAAAGAAAGGCCATCGAAATAGCCTCAAAACAAAACAAGGTTAGTTGAAACATTTCAACTATAGCACTGAAGATGGGAAGTTAGTCCAGCTGGGCTGACTCCTGCCCCCTGAGGGGTCTAGAGGTTTTGACCCCGCTGTGGCTTAACACATACATGTGACATGAGTCAAGATTTTGAGGTGCAGTTTCCCTGAACCCCCTGCACCTACACCTTGAAACTTGGCAGGCTTCATGCCCTCGGAAGGGGCTACCATTCCTGCAGGTGCCATCCAAATCAGGCTAGAAATGACAAAGTTAGAGGTTGTTTCAACCTTCCCCATTATAGAATATGGGCAAAGTCAAAACAGCAGCAAAATGGCAAAACATTTTATCTTGCCTCCGTTTGTTTGGAGGCTGTTTTGACCGTATCTGTTAAATTTTGATTTTGCTATTTTGACCTCGAAACGAGTCTAAGCAGTGTCAAAACAAACCTGGTGGTGAAATTTCGCACACCCCTACTAATCATGTTCCCCCAGTATATCATGTCTTTGTTAAAGTAGAAACACCCTACTCTGCAGGGAAACAATGTTCTCTCTTTCTCTCATGCACGCACACATCCATTACACGACATATTATTATTCTACTGAGAGAAGGGAGAAGGGGATGTAAGAAGTGTTGCTCCCAAACAATACTCACGCTGGAGTCTGGTTACATAGAGGCGGATCCCTAGAGCACCACTGGCTTGTCTCCTCCTGGGCTATCATATGAATGTAGTCCTGCGTGGCTGCCACATCTCCCTCCACTACACCAAGCTCATGCGCTGCCTCATGATGTACGACGCAATCCGCTGGTAGTGTGACATCTACATGGAGCACATCACAGGCCACCACCACTACACCGACTCCACCAGACTCACCGCTGCCGGACCGGACCCAGAGGGGACCGCCTGAACCCCGCTCTACACCTGACGGACTTCACATCAAGAGGAATCTTCAGCAATGGACCACCCTGCTCCACCCGAAGACGCCCATGATGAGACTCTCTATGGACTGAGATACTTTCCTCGACCTACTTCCTCCACCACTGCGGACCATTGTACAGGCTTGTGTGTATCTATCTTCTCTCTCTCTTGTGTGTATCTATCTTCTTTCTCTCTCAATATCATGATACCCCCTCCCTCCCCTTCCCCCACCCCCTGGGCCTAGTTGGCTAACATTGTATTTTCTGTAACCTAGTTGCATTCCCCTCTTCACGCCCATACTTCTTATGTCAGTCCCTTGCTTGGGGAATCTGTATTTCCATACTCGCTGTCTCATCTTTTTGGATTCATAATTCTAAACATCTACTAATATAATTCTTGCCCATCTGTAACAGCTCCTCTTACCTAATTGGGCAGGAAATTATGGATAAAAAACCCAAAAACCAATCTCATCAGCTGCAGGCGGTTGTGAGTGTCAATTAGTGAGAAAGTCCAGGTTTGAATGAAGATGGACCCCGAATTCTCTGCTCCAATTCTAGGGCAGGTCTGTGTACAGACGCCCCATAACAAACTCATGAATGAACAGGTGCAAGCACCTGCAGGCCTTTTGTATGGACAGGAGCCTGTGCAGGGGTCCTGTGCACCAGGGAGGACTGCTCTGCAGGGCCAGGGACCAGCCTGAGTGCATACACATCTGCATCGAAGTCCCAAATCAGGCAACAAGATCTCTCTCAGCCCCTGCTCCATCAGCCTCCCTGGCACTACCATGACCTACCTGGAGTGCAGGAGGGAGAGTTAGAGGTGGCTTCATGGCACAAGGACAGGTCTGGCCCATGCCAGGGCCAAACAGGCACCTCTCATCGCACATATGCCCTATCCCACACCATTGGGGCAGGAAGGGGTATGGGAGGGAAGGTTGGCATAGAAACACAACCAGGTGCCTGCAGAATAGAGGCAACCATGATTGCAGGTTGCCACATCATCACAATTGCAACTGCAATTATTTGGCTGCCAGTAAGAACTGCTTTTACTCACATCCCACCCCACCCCACCGCCCCCAGGTCAGTGCCCACAGTGGTTGCCCCAGATGCCCTACTGAAGTTATGCCTCTGGAGGGAAGAAGAGAAGAGAGGGCAATGGAGCTGCTGCATACTCCTTGCCACAAAGCAGAAAGAGCATTAGGAGGAGCGATGGCCAGGCAGGAGCCCATGGGCCAAATGTTATCCCTTCATGGACTGTATGTAGCCCATGGGCCCTGAGTTGGATACCCCTGATTTATGTGATTCACATGGATCAGGGGTCCAGTGCCAGGCAGAGAGTTTTGCTGCTCTCCTTTCCAAAGGGCTGTACCTTTCTCACCTTTCCCCTATGGAGATGTCACAGGCAGCTTTGCTTACATGACAAGCAGAACCTGCTATTCTTCACTTTCCCTCTTTCCAGCATTCATAGATTCATAGATGCTAGGGTCAGAAGGGACCTCAAAGATCATTGACTCCGACCCCCTGCATAGGCATGAAAGAGTCCTGGGTTTAGATGACCCCAGCTAGATGCCTATCTAACCTCCTCTTGAAGCCCCCCAGGGTAGGGGAGAGCACCACCTCCCTTGGGAGCCCATTCCAGACCCTGGCCACTCTAACTGTGAAGAAGTTCTTCCTAGTGTCTAGTCTAAATCTGCTCTCTGCTAGCTTGTGGCCATTACTTCTTGTAACCCTCGGGGGCACCTTGGTGAATAAAACCTCACCAATTCCCTTCTGTGCCCCCGTGATGAACTTATAGGCAGCCACAAGGTCGCCTCTCCACCTTCACTTGAGGAGGCTGAAACAGTCCAGGTGCTCTAGTCTCTCCTCATAGGGCTTGGCCTTCAAGCCCTTAACCATAGGAGTGGCTCTGCTCTGGACCCTCTCCAGGTTATCCACATCCCTCTTAAAGTGTGGTGCCCAAAATTGCACACAGTATTCCAAATGTGGTTTGACCAGCGCCCGATAGAGGGGAAGTATCACCTCCTTGGATGCTGGACATTTTTCCTCCCTAGGTGCAGTACTTTGCATTTCCCCTTGTTGAACTGCATTCTGTTGTTTTCTGCCCACTTGTCCAACCTGTCCAGGTCTGCTTGTAGTTGTTCCCTGCCCTCCGGCATGTCCACTTCTCCCCACAGTTTTGTGTCATCCACAAACATGGACAGAGTACACTTCACTCCCTCGTCCAAGTCGCTGATGAAGATATTGAAAAGTATCGGTCCTAGGACCGAGCCCTGCAGGACCCCACTGCTCACACCCTTCCAGGTCGATACTGACCCATCCACTACGACTCTCTGGATCCACTATGACTCTCATTTTCCACATTTTATGTTGTTTTTCCAGAAGAACTTTATTGGGGAGCTCAGAGCACTTCCTGCAGGAACTTTCTTGCCGCCCTCCCTGAGTATGTCTCTTCCAGCTGTAAAGGCTCTTCTCAACCCCACTACCAGCCATCCCTGGGAGATGCCTGCAGCACAGGACAGACTGTCTCTGGGCACCCATCCTGCATGGGAGGGGTCTCTCTTCAAATAAAGGCTGCTGCAGCTTCACAAATTCGATTCAAAGAAATGGAACAAGGAACGTCATTCCAGTTTTGCCTCGCTTGTGTTCCTGAATGCACCTGGAATGAAGTGCACTTCTCCTTCTTGGGACTACTGGGCTCCCCAGGTATCCAGAACCTGCAAGACAGAAGCCCCAGGGTCAGGAGCTCATCACCACTGGGAGGTTCACTGGGGAACAAGCTCTGAGTGATGAGGATGGAGGGAGAGGGACAACTGCAGCCTGTGATTCACCCAGAGCTCCACCAGCTCCCTCAAGGCTGCTCCCTGAAACAGACTACATCCCCCTGCTCACAGTCCCTCAACTGACCTGCTCCTTCATGGGGATTTTACTCCAGGAGGGAAAAGTGTTTTACACTTGCTCTCTCACACATGCCCAAATGCACCTATTACACTATATGCTGTGGGATTAACATGGGGAAGGATGTAACCACTGCCCCTTCCGGGTGATACTCACTTCGTAGTCTCGTTATAGGGGGTCTGATCCACCCAGCGCCACTGGGCTTCCACCTCCTGGGCAGACAGACCAATGAAGTAACTTCGCCTGCTTGAAAAAATGTCTTTTGTCCAACTGAGCAGGAAGTCCTGGATAAAATATGAAAGTGAATATTGCTGTCACCAAGTGCAGGGGCTGAGCAGACAGCAGGAGGCAGCATCCCTGCAGAATGGGAGCCCAGGGGAAGACCAGAGCAGAATGAAGATGGAGACAAAATTCCCATTCGGATACAGAACAGGCCTGAGTGCGAGGAGGTCCCACCCAGGCTGGCTCTGAACTCCCAGGGGACACCCCCGTCCCTCCCCCCACCACACACAAGGTACCTGCTCAGCCTGTGTGTTGATCACCACCAGGTGGGAGCCCATCCCCGTGCAGTTCTTCTCACTTTCATCCCAGGACATGCTATCACTGGACAAATAGTAGCAGTTGGCTCGAAAGGGCTTCCAGCCCATGGGGCAGCATGTCCAGACCCCCTCTGGGAGGAGGGAGAATGCAAAATGCAATAACATTCCTTGTAGTGTAGGTGGGAAACCTCTGCCAGGCTGCCTCTTCTTCACCCTTTGCACATTGTTTCTACCACTTATTCTGAACAGCTTGAATATCTTCTGCCTCTACCCCTTTGTCTAGACTGGCAGAAAGGATGTGCTGTTAGAAGCCGTTCTCTAACACAGGCAGAAATCCAATCTAGGCTAACACAGGTTAGTTAATGTGCTTTCAGATCCTCATCTAGACAAAGCCACAGATCCTCCGGTAATGCAGTTTTCACCCCTTTCCTTAAGCATGGTGATTTCATATGGCATCTATATTTGTTATACTAATGAGCTGTTGTTTTAATCAGTAGCATACACTGATACATTAATAATTATCTGTCTGTCTTCTATCTATTGAACTATCCATCCAAGTTCTAAGTCAAGTCTAAGTCCGAGGATTCTTTTAGTTATACTAAGTTAAAACCTCATTATAATGCCAGGAGTAAAGCATACTCAAAAGACAGGACTAAGGGGAAGATTCAATTAATGTCTAAAAGGCACATCTTCTTTGCCTGGGCGTGGTTGGGACTGAGTGTCTTAAATTGAGCAGTTTCTGGAATCCTTTGTTCAAAAAGAAATTAGAAGCTACTCTGCTAAGTGTTAAAAAATATGCAGAAATAAATAACTATTGATGCCTGAAGTAGTCTGTTAGTTAATAAGACAGACAGAAAGAAAGACAGACAGACAAGCAAGCTATGTAGATTACAGCATTCTATTGACCCATTAAGCCTGCTACATTGTCCAGTTGGTACAGATGAAAAGATGGGCAATGTTTTGCCTGTGATGCTGGTTAGTATATTCTTAATTCTTATAGTCCAGGGGTGTCAGACTCATCTGGCCCCATGAGTGGTGTGGGGCCGGTTCACAGGCCGGTAAGGCCCATGGACCCCCTGCCCACCTGCCTTTTCTAGCACATGTGGCAACTTGGCCTGAGTAAGTGCTATGGGCAGCACACATCCCAGGCACTGCATGCAAGGCCAGTCCAGTGCACCATGTGAGCCAACTGGCCAAGCACTAGGGGCCGAATTATAAGACTCTGGCAGGCCAAATCCGGCCCATGGGCTGTATGGACACACCTGTCATAGTCAATAAACTGACTCTGATCATTTTGGGCTTCTGAGCATTTCCTTTAACAAACGGTCAAGGGATGGTCTTGTCCACTGTCTAACAGGCTAAGGTGTTAGCAAATGTCTCGTTCTCCCCAACTATTGTCCCCTTTATCCATCTCTCAGCTACGCTAATCCTTCTCTGTCCTGGTAGCTGACAATACAGTGGCACTTTTTTTTCCTTACACTTCACTAAGTGTGCATAAACCTCATCTTGAGCTCACCTCCCCTAGTAAGTCAGTCTCCCCAGCATCCTATAACTGCTGTCAAGTACTGCATGTGTATGAGGCCTCCAGCCCTAAATGCTGATACGGTAGATTATTCCCCACTTGCCCTCTTTCTTTTACATACTGACTGACCTTTGCTCCCAGGTGTCCCCAGGGCACAGCGCCACTCTGGAAAAGTCGCGGGCAGTTTGTAAGCTTTCGGGCTCTGTTTATGGAGCATACCTGCAAAAGAAGAGGAACATAGAAGCCTCAGTACAAGAGTATGAGTACAATATTCCTCTTCCCCTTCTCATGTAAGCAACCCAGTTTCCTCATCTTCTGGCAAGAAATGATTCCCGCCTCTCATCCCCCTCTCCCTAACATGCACACCTTTTGGCTCTTCATTATGTTTACAATGTCAATTTGTCTTTGGCTCCCTCCTGATTGTGGAGAGAAACCGTATAATTATATACCCATGAATCTCAGTCAAGAAAAGGAAAAGTTCGTGACACACATGGATTAGGTGAAGCTGGTTTTGACTAGGCTCTAGTGACAATCTTATTGAACTCAAAAAATTATCATTTTTTTCCAGTACGAAAGATACAACTACAATCATAGGATGAAGATATTATAGACTTTCTTATTCTGCATCAAGATGAACCAGTCACTGGACCAAAAAACTGCTGACACTCACATCCATGGTTCTTTCAAAGGGTTACTACTTTCCCAAAGCCAAGAAAAATATCAGCAATATTGATCATAAGGAGCAGTTTAGAAATATCTGAATGAAAGCTGGCAGTTGCTTAAGAAATCACAGAAAAGTAGGGCTGGAAGGGACCCCCATAGGTCATCTAGTCTAACCTCTGGTCTGAGGAAGGATCATTCCTATCCAAAACATCTTATAAAGTCCATAGTAGATGGGGGAAAGGGAAAAGAAAAAGGACACCCTTGCCTAAAAGCCCAGCCTGATTTAATGGCAAAATGCCCGCAGAATTTAGAAATTAAAAGCATCATATAGAAAAAAAGAGCAATGCAGAGAAATAGATAGCAATCAATATAAATTAAAAATTGTTAACTACAAAACAATGATAAACCTTTTCTTTATAAAGGTATAAAGAAAATTCTATGGTAGGCAGGGCTCAAGACTATACAAAAGACTTTTTTTGAAGTATCTCAGGAATAAAGATATCTCAGTGACTAGGCCCATAACTAGATGTAGGTAGAAATATTGTTAATAATGATGTAATAAAGGTAGAAGTGTTCAGTAAAAATGCAAGTCCATGAGCTTTATGGAGGATTACTGGAAAAAAGTGGAAAATAATGAGTACAATATTCTTCTCCCCCTTCTCATGTGAATAGCCCAGTTTCTTCATCTTCTGGCAAGAAATGCCTCTTCCTCAGTGCCCCCTCCCCCTCCCATGCACACACTTCTATCGGGTCTTTATCATGTTTACAATGTCAGCAGACATGTTCCTTGACCTCCCTCCTGCTTGTGGGGAGCAACTGTATAATTATATACCCATGAATCTCACTCAAGAAAGGAAAAAAGTGTGACACACATATGAAACTGGGTGTGACCAAGGAACAGCTCTAGTGATGATCTTGATGAGCTCAAAAAATATAGAGGATCATTTTTTTCACAGTACAAAACATACAACTTTAGAAAAGCAAATCCCGGGACGTCATTCTCCCCCTGTACTCGGCCTTAGTGAGGCCGCAGCTGGAGTACTGTGTCCAGTTTTGGGCTCCACAATTCAAAAAGGATGTGGAGAAGCTGGAGAGAGTCCAGAGAAGAGCCACACGCATGATCAGAGGTCAGGGAAGCAGACCCTACGATGACAGGCTGAGAGCCCTGGGGCTCTTTAGCCTGGAAAAGCGCAGGCTCAGGGGTGATCTGATGGCCACCTACAAATTTATCAGGGGTGACCACCAGCATCTGGGGGAACGTTTGTTCACCAGAGCGCCCCAAGGGATGACGAGGTCGAATGGTCACAAACTACTTCAAGATCGTTTCAGGCTGGACATAAGGAAGAATTTCTTTACTGTCCGAGCCCCCAAGGTCTGGAACAGCCTGCCACCGGAGGTGGTTCAAGCGCCTTCATTGAACACCTTCAAGTTGAAACTGGATGCTTATCTTGCTGGGATCCTATGACCCCAGCTGACTTCCTGCCCTTTGGGCAGGGGGCTGGACTTGATGATCTTCCGAGGTCCCTTCCAGCCCTGATGTCTATGAAATCTATGAACTACAATCATAGGATAAAGGTACTATAGACTTTATTATGGATAAAGATAAGACACTCATTGGACCAAAGAACTGATGATTACATGGGGTCCAGTGACCTTGACCTGATTATATTCATTATGAGCAAATTAATATCCGTGGTTCTCCCAAAGTGCTAATATCCTAAAGCCTGTGAAATATATCAGCAGTTTTAATCATATGGGAAAATGTAGACAAATCTTAATGAAATGTGTCAGATGTTTAAGAATGGTCTTAGATGGAGAGAGGTCAAAAGAAAGAAGACAACTTTGCTTAAAAACCCAGCCTAATTTAATGGCAAA